GCGTACACACGCAGGAGGGGAGCAGCAATTACGGAAATAGACGATGATTTTTTATTTTTTTTTTCGCAAAACATCTCCACCGGTCTTATTCGTGGAACAGATAGGAGCAACCCCTATGAATATGACCCCAGATGGAGATGGCTCCAAACTAGTGGTGAGGAGCTACACCAGCTGCAATCCGTGTCCAGCGTCCCATTTTTTTACACCACACTGCTGTTTCATTTGACTACCAGCGATCCTCCCACCTTCATACCAGCCCGCCTTCTCGATTTGCACCACATGTCCTTGGCATGTACATAACACGGCTGTCCCGAAGGACGAAAAAAAAAAAAACACATAAGAGGACACGAAAGGCGCGACTGCAATAGACAGGTACTGAGACACAATACACGGACCCGCCCACATAGTACACACTGCAGAATGTATGTCCTGCACCCCGACACCACATGCTTCCCGCCAAAGTAGAAAACAATCTGACTATGGAAGTGTTTGACAATGTTCCAGAATTGAAGTGGACACTACCGCAAAGCGGTACCCCGCGAGGAGTGAAAGCCATATAACGCGTTCATCGATGAGCCGAATGTGAGTCACTGCGGTTCGTTAACGGTTGCATTCTTTGTGAACACTGAGAAGCATTTCATGCGAACGAACCCTCTTGTCTCTGCCAACGATTTCCCTATTGCTGCATTGCATCACGGACACTCGTCACTTTTCGACACCTCTTGCCAAATGTCGATATCGTCGACCTGGCCGACTAACGCTATATCCATCCCACCGTTCGGACATCGGCCTTGCACTAAACATATGCCCTTCTTTTAGAAACTCAACTCGTTGCGCCAGACACGCACAACTGCGTCGGTGAAAGCTCAACTCTTGTTCGAACAAGCTACGCACAACACCCTACCGAATATGAATTAGGCTAAACGTAATCTGATGCAACAGAACGACACAACCCGTGGAGATGTGGCCTGACCGCGGAGCGGGTGCTATACGAGACACACACATGAATGAACACAACGCACATCAATTCTTGTGCAGGTCATCGTGCCCGTGTGCCCTAATACCATAGGCTACAAACATCTTTGTTCAGCCAAGTAACATATGTGCCGGGGTGTCGAATATCGGCGTCCTCGAGTAAAAGAAACATATATCTTTCTATCACGAGAAACACACTTTGTTGCTATGCGTGAGCTGACCCTCGAACACAATAATGGAATAACAAATTGCTTGTATAGCAATGTGTCATTCAATCGACATGTGTTATCATACAGTACCACATCAACGCGATGCAACATTCCTTACATACACCCGTCAGCATGAACAGTTCCTGTCCCCAAATGGCACTGTGACCCGTTCACCAACAGTTAAGTCGAAAGCAAACGGTGCCTTTTACTGAACCCGTACAAAGCTGATAGTGACGAACCGAAAGTAAGGCGGAGGGGGTCTTTGTATTTTTCATTTTTTGAGAACGGAGAGATGTATTTCATGCGAACAAACGTCCCGTCTCTAGCCAAGTACTTTCCAATCGCATCTCTGATGCGCGCAATGTGAGCCTCAACCTCCACCTTTTGGTCGCCTTCTGAGACTCCCGCGTGCTGCATGAAATCTGACTTGCCCTCCCTATCTGAACACTTGAGAAGCGAGAGGAAACCTTTAGTCAGATGCAAACTATTATGGGTCGCAAAAACGACGACGTCTGTCAAAGTTCTTGCACTGTTCGTGCAGGCCACACATAATATCCTGGTGACAGGCAGTTTTCCTATTGTCATATTGACACAACCGTAGGAAATCACAGTGGATGAATTTTGGCAACTAAGCAAAGGGTAGTCACTCAAGAAGTCGCAGAACCTTGGGCATGTCAGCAACTTGAATTGCTTAATCGGGGACCAGGTCCTGGGCGAGGTTGTGATGCACTTGAACTCTAGAAAGCGGTAGGTGTCATGGAAGGCCACAAAGGCGAATGTGTTTTGCGACAACAAATCCAAAGGTAGCAATTGTATCATGTCACCCCACTCCAACATGTTAGCGAAGCGATAGTCGTTCGCCCATGGGCACAAGGACATTGTGGACTCCCAATCCTCTTCGCACCAACAATTAACGGGGCAATCAGTCCAAAGCATGACACCCATCCACGGATTCATCTCAAAATCTTGTCGAGTGGTGGCGATGATCCCCGTCCGCTCCCTTGTTCCATGCATGGAGAGCGCCCGTTGCACTAAAGGGAACGCTGCTCTGACCGAGTCGTCCTCCTGGTGCAGATGGTTGGCGTTCTCGCTATCCGATGATGTAGCACACTCCAGTGCGGAGGACGAGGACACGTATGTAGGCTTTTTTCGCATCGTGTCTTGCTTCGCCACACACACACACACACACACGCATACAAACACACACACACACACACACACGCATACAGACACACACACACACACACACACACGCATAGAGACACACACACACTCTCACACACACACACACACACACACACACACACATACACACACAGAGGAGGGATTTTTATTATACAGGCCCCCGGATTGTGTTGCACTCTAGCACAGATACCCGGAATAGTACCAACCGTCAGCACAGCCTACATTCATCGTAGACTAACCGGCCAGCATACTATCAAACAACACACACACACACACACACACACACACACACACACACACACACACACACACACACACACACACACACACACACACACACAC